AGCACATGGAGTTCTGAGGAAGGGCATTCTTTCACTGAGAGAAAGTCTCAGTAGAAATCTTACTGGAGCATGCTAGCGAATTTCTTTGAGGAAGGTCGAGTCATCATATGGAGAGGGGACAAGGTCTTGTACCAGGGTGGGGGAGGAGACAGAAGGGGTATTGGTATTGGGAGAACCTCGGGATTGAACAAATTAAATGGATTCTGTTTCGTTTGATAATTGATCCTATTCTGTATCAACACTCCATTTTCCCTCTGAGTTAGTTTAAAGGTATAGTTAAAAGAAAATCTGTTATCTACCATGCCTTATCTTCAAAGGCCTACAAGTTGATCTGGTAAATTTCCACAAAGTATATTGTCCGTCCTTGCCTGTCCTTGTAAAGTTAAGGAGGGCCTAGTCTCCCAAACCCTTCTAGGTGCCTGCAAGATGTTGATGGGTCCCATAAAACAATTAACATTCCTTAATTATCAGAGAGGGATGGTTCTTTAAAATAACCCGTCATATTGTCTCCTTCCCCCCACAATCCTACCATGTAACCAATAGAATTGTTTTCCTCTGCTACCCAACTCTGTACTTCCCAAAACTATATTAAGGCAGGTGAGCCCTACTTTGATGTTGTAGGTGATTTAGAGAGTTCATTGACCCAATTTATTGGTTACTGCTAACCTAACCAATAAATTGATCATGCTTAGAGCATTCTCTCTCAGTTTACCTTAATTTTCAAATGAAACAGTATCAGCTTAGATACTGGATCATTTGCCTATTGAAGACCCTGAAGGGAGAATAATTGCTTCCTGAGATTCCTGGTGCCTTGCCTTGGAGACCCTCCAGTGAACTGTGTCAATTCATTATCACCCACCACATGGACCAGAGCATAGAGATCTGAAATTTGGACTTTTCAAAAGGGGAGAAAAAGCTAAGATGTCTGGCTTTTGTCCTCCTCCACACTTTTTTCATTCTTTTTCTTTTTCCTGACTCTATTTCCCTTCACTTCCCCCCCACCCCCGTACTGCCTCTGCCAGGATGATTGTCCAAGAAAACCTTCAAAAGCATTTAAATGGTGGAAGGTTCTTGAGAACAGAGGAATCAAACATATCTCCTGGCTGTGATCTGGCTGCAAAACTGCCAAACCAAATGAAAATGTAATGGGAAAAAGTTTAACAAAATAAATGCAAACATAATACAACATAGATCATATTAATTCATGGTTTTCTAGGTCAATAGGCAGCCAGTAGGGGTCTCTCTAGAGGATCCTCAGGTCCTGGCCACTCTGGTGTGGTATGTGATAGGACCAGAGTTCCCCATTTCTAGGACATAGGAATTAGCTACTTTTCTCTAAAAGGCAACAAAGCTGCCCTGGGATATGATGGGGGCAATGGCCTTGATGGTGCTTCATAGTCACTTAACAGCCCCAAATACCCCACCTATGGGGAGTCAGGGCCTCTCCGCTTGCTGGATTTCTGAGGAACATAACCTGAGTTTGCTCCCTTTTCCAAATCCCTATCACTAGCTCTGTTGACCAGGCCCATTTCCACATGGAGTGAGGGGGAGGATGTGTCCAGAGAAGCTGTCACTGTGTTGTTGTGTGGCACATTCTTCCTTGCCATGGAAAGGCAAAGTCTTTTGTTAACTGTTCAACAACTTGTGAGGACCTCATTTCGCTGGCCATTGAACCTGAACTAAGAGAGTTAGATCTCAGCCACTAACAAGAGGTCCCTTAATAAGGTCTCCGAAGATGGCTTACTGGGATGTGGCTTCCGGGCATGTTACCACTTCTTAGAGCCACAGGTGAGACCTGAGTGCCAGATAGATACCACGAGTTGTCATCACCCTTCATTCATCACCTATCAGTCCTCTTCAAAATGAAGGACAAACAACAACAACTGAATGAGACGGTAGAGGGAGGGTCTGGAAGCAGCAGTGGGGAGCAGAGAGTATTCTAACTCTTTCATCACAACTGTGGCTGGAAGGGAACAAGGGAAGAATCATTTATTAAGCACCTACTATGTGCTGGCCACTGTGCTAAGCACTTGACAAAGAGTATCTCATTTGATAATAATTTGTCTGTTGCAAAAGATGGCCAGACTGTGTCCTTAGGAGTGAGTCAGTTCTTGGTGAGGGAGTGAGACAGGTGATGGAGGAAAGGTTTCCTGTAGGAGGTGGCATATGAGATCAGCCTTGAACTAGGGATTATGAGAGGCAGGGGTAAGGGGATAGCCATGGAAGATAGCTTACACAAAGGCCATACAAAGGTTGGAGGTGGAGTGTCATCTTTGAGGTATAAGAGGGAGGTCAGTTCGACCAAAAAGTAGAGCACATGGAGAAGAATGTGTAGTGTAACATCCCCTCTACTTACCCACCCCTTCTGCATTTACATCCCCAGACAGTAGATAAACTACTTCTGTGGGTCCTAGGTTACTCTGTGGGGCTGCTTTCCTATTTCTGTAGATACTGAGTCCCCATCAGTATATTTACCCAGGAAACATTAGCCAGACATGATTAACTCAAGTAAAGACTTTACTAATGTATCATGGCATCAAGGTATCATGGTAAGGACAATAGTTACAGAAATCCATCTCGTAAAGCTGGGGCACACTGTTTCACAAATAAACACAGCTTCAGTGGGAAGAGTGGAATCCACTTAGAGTACACTGGTAGTGAAACACGTTTAGAGAGCTCATATGACTAAAGAAACTCACACTTCCAGTACTCCTGAGCCTCAATGTTCTTTCTCTTCTGAGGAGCCTTCTCAAGCTCCCCTCCCTGCAACTGTTTCCTCCCCCTTCTTCCTATCCTCCCACAGTGACTTACCTAACCCTAAATGCTCAGTTGGGCTCTCAGTGTCTGATCCCCTCTGTTATATGTGTCTCTATAGACAGTGCATATCTGCTCCCTCCACTCCTAAAGTAGGTGTATCTCAGTGACTTAAATGCTCTTGAATTGATCATCTCCAACCTTCTAATTTCTCCTATTATGTTAGAAAGACACCATGGTCAATACGGGGAAGAGGAGGATGGAAATTCCCTTTCCTGCCAAGCTACCCTCTGGGATAGGTGTGAGAGTCATGATCTAGAATTCTGCCCTAAACCTGACCTCCCAAATCATGGACCGCCTGCAGGTTTGGTCGACTTAGCTATAGAACAGCATTAAGGGGTATGGTCAGTTATATCCCTGGCCAATAGTCTTGCCCTTTCCAATCCAATCGAGGAGAAACTTATTGGTGCTATTTTTAAGGTAACACAGGGCATAGGTGCACCTTTGCAATTCATTTGACATCTGGTTAATATGAATATTATATTGTTTTTGTCATCTGCCCCTTGCTTTCTGTGATTTGGGGTGGGGGTGGGAGTAGGAAGCAGGCATTTAGTAAGCACCGCTATGTGCCAGGCATTGTGCTAAGATCTCATTTGATCCTCACAACAACCTGGGTGGTGGGTGCTATAATTATCCCCATTTTACAGCTGAGGAAACTGAGGCAGCCAGAGGTTCAGCGATTTGTTCATGAGCACCCAGCAAAGAAGTATCAGAGTTTAGATTGCAACTTACATCTTCGTGACTCCCGACTCTGCACAATGTCCACTATGGTTAGTGAAGAGATCTAGCTGATCTCCATTATGATTGCCAGCATCAGCTGAGGCACAGAGGAGGAGGGAGGGGCACAAAGCCTGTCAATCTTCAGGAAGAAGGAAAGGAAGGCTACATTCAGGCTGTCCAGGGCTTTCAGTGCCCACATGTTGTTCAGTTGTGTCTGACTCTTCATGACCCCACTAGGGTTTTTTATGAAGATACTGGTGTGGTTTGCCATCTCCTTCTCCAGCTCATTGAGTGCCCATGTGAGGAACTGCGAAAGGATAGAGATAGGAAGGTCGGGGTTTGAGTCCTACTGTTAACATATAAGGAACTGTGTGATCATAGATGATGGGTCATAAACCTGAGGAGAAAAGACGAAAGTTTTATTCAATATTCCAATCACCCAAAGCATGCTCATAGACTGCTTTAGGAATCTACAAAGTTCTTGAGAATTTCTAGTGCTAAGAAACAGTTTTGGAAGGAGTGAGTACCATATCTAAAAGCCAAATTCTGGACCTTTGCAATTTCTTGCACATCTGCCGTTTGGTGATGCCAGCAGAATTTGGTAACAAATCAGATAAAAAATTCCTCAAAGACATGTTTGTTTCTACAAATGGAAGAATAAGCTCTAAGACTGGATGGAGGAGTCCACTAAGAGTTCAGGTTCCAGCTCCAAGGTGCTGGAAGTTGCTTGGAAGACACTGGCTCCATTTTGAAATTGATTTGTTTTTTAGGTGTCCCTTTCAAAGGGAACCCTTTCATGGGCAAGTCACGGGACTCCTCAGTTCCAACAGAACCCTCTACCTGCTTCTCAAGATGATTTTCACACTAGAGTTCCTTCCAGTAAAGAAATCACAAGTCTGGATCTCCCCATCAAAACACACACGCATGGAACCCCGTGGATTCCTCACAGAGCTCACCTCCATTTCAGGAGGGGAAGCTGAAGCCCAGAGGGCCCAATGGGTGGCCCAGCATTGCAATAATTTCATAGCAAAGTGGAGATTGGAGCCCAGATGACCTTGGCTCCCCTGCTCTGCTCGGCCTCTAGAATGTGGGGGCTTGTCCCTAGCAGTGGTGCCCCTACACTTCCCCCACATCGTCTTGATGTCCTTGTCAGAGCTAGGTCATTTGCCGAATGACTCCTGGGCTAAAGAGCTATATATAAGGGCTCAGTGGAGCCCTTGGGACTTGGATTTAAGGCAGGGCGGAGGGCTTGCCTCAGCCCTCCAGGTCGGGCCTAGAACCAGGTTTGATCGACTGCGCCATTGCCTTGACTAGGCACAGAGGAACCGGGCCTGGGGTGACTGGGGGAAGCGGTGAGTTGGGAGCTGGTCAGCGCTCGTGACTGACGGGGGTTCCTGGAAGCTGAGGAACATGTGGGGAGGAGGGGTTGAGTAGAAGGCTGATAGAGAGGGTAAGGACCAAGCTGGAGGGAGGAGGAACCGGTAATCTCCTCTGGCCCCTCCCAACTCTGTCCCCCAGCCCCGCCCTGGTCCATTCCTCCAGCCCGAGCACCTAAATATTTTCTTACTAACAGGAACCATCGGACTTCCCCGCTGCGCTCACGGTTGCTGTCAGGCGCTCCAGTCTCGGAAGGAGCCCTATACTGCGCGCCCATCTGAAGCTGTCCAAGCTCGCCCCAGGAGCCAGCCCTTCCAAGCCATGCCTGACCACACTGTCATCGCCATGCAGGGCGGGGAACCAGAGAAGGGGAACACTTCGAGCCGTCCTCGTGACTACCTGCTGTTCTCCCTCTTCAACATTCTGGGGTTGGGGAACCCTTGTTGTCTCAGCTTCATTGCGCTCGTTTGTTTGGTCAAGGTAGCTGCAGCAGCCGCGCAGCTCAGCGGGGGAGGGACACCAGGCTCCCAAAGACAGAGATCCCTTGGATGTGCGCTCCCCGTTCACTTCCCTTGCTCCACTAGCCTCTGTCACTTTCCCTTGCGTCACCTCCTTCTCCCCTTCTTTCTTTCCTCCTCCCCTGCTCCTCCTGCTCCTGTCCCTCCTTTTCCCTCTATTCCATCTTCTTCTCCTCATCCACTTCTTTCCTTCTCCCCCTGCTTCTCCCCCACTCCTGTCTTTTCTCCTCCTTCTCTCCCTCTCGTCTTTCCTCCCCCTTCTTGTCTCTGCTTCCTTCTCTCTCTCCTAGCTCCCCAATCTTTCCCTCTCCATTATCCTCCCTCCTTGGTCTCTTCTTCCAACCTCACTTCCTTTCCTCTCCTCAAGTTCCTTCCTTCACCTATTCCATTCTCTTTCTTCTTTCTACCCCTTTCCCTTCTCTTCTCAGTCCTTAGTTCTTCCTCTGAGGTACTAAACTGTGGTTATGACCCAGGAAATTTGGCCGCTACAGGGTATTGGGGACATCCATCTGCCTTGGCCTCTCAGACCCTCCAGGAAAGCTAACTCCCATCTGACCAAATATAAGGACTGCTCGCCTACAGCACTTAAGGGAGGACAGGGTTTCAGTGGAAGAAAGAAGCTGGTTCCAGAACCAGTTAATGGGAGAGGGACCAACAGAGGAGAAGGGGTGGAAGAAAGCAGCGTGGAGCCAGCGCTTGAGGTGGCCCTTGGGAAGATGGGGTTGTCCAGAAGAAAAGGGGACAGTCAGGTAGGGGGCAGCCTGAGAAAAAGAACAGAGATGGCAAAAGGTTAGGAACCTTCATGGAAGATTGAAAGAGTTGTCCGAGGAGTAGGTTTTGTGTGTGTGTGTGTGTGTGTGTGTGTGTGTGTGTATGTGTGTGTGTGTATATGTGTATGTATATGTATGTGTGTGTATGAATGTGTGCATGTGTGTATGAATGTGTGTATGAATGTGTGTATATGTTTATGTGTATGTATGTGTATATGAATGTGTGTATGTGTGTATATGTGTATGTATATGTATGTACGTGTATGAATGTGTGCATGTGTATATGAATGTATGTGTATGTGAATGTGTATATGTGTATATGTGCATGTGTGTATATGTTTATGTGTATATGAATGTGTGTATGTGTGTGTATGTATGTATGTGTATATGTGTATGTGTGTGTATGTGTATGTATGTGTATGTGTGTGTGTTTGTGTGTATGTGTGTATGTGTATATGACTCTGTGTGTGTGTGTGTGTATGTGTACTTACTGCCCTTACCCCTGAGTCTGTTTGTGTACACTTGTCAGGGGAGGAGGAAGAGGCAAAACTGAAAAGGCCAATTAAAACAGGGTGAGGCCCCTTAGTGAGGCTACCAGGTTTGGGCTTGGTTTTGTGGCCAGTGGGAGCCATTGCAGGTCCTTAAGCAGAGATGTGAAGATTAGTACCTCTGCCTGCTGCAGGCACAGAGGGAGAGGAAGACCAGCTAAGAGTTCAGTGAGTCTGAACTAAGCATAACCACTCAAATGGAGAGAATAGGATGGAAGAATGGGGAAGACTCGGCACTTGGTTGGATATTGGAGGAAGAATCAGAGATGACGGGTTTTGTGCCTGGTGTCTGGAAGATGGTAGAGCAGCTAGGTGGAGCTGGCCAGCAGGCCAGCAGAGTGCCTGTCTGGGGTTCAGGACAGAGGTCAAGGCTGGTGCTGCAGACTGGGAGGGGCCTGGAGTGGTGATCTTGGACCCCCTGGAAGTGGATGAGATTCCCGTAGAAGGGAGGACAAGAGACTAGGAAAGCCAGGCCAGAGCCAGGGGGAATGGAACATGTGGAAAGTAGCAAGAGGGAGAACTAGGGCAGAAAACCACAGATGCCAGGGCCCTATCCCTAAGTCAAGGTGGGAGACAGGAGCTCTGGCTGAATTGGCTTGGTGTAGCTGGAAGCCAACAGCCAGGACCTTGATGAGGGGCTGCTGTCATGCTTCCCAGCCCTCCTTGGCTGGAGGGTTGGCTGACTCCTGAAGAACCTTCAGCTTAGGATGGCTGAGTGACTGACTCATCAGGGTCATACAGTTTGAGGCGGGCAGTCCTTTTTTCCTTCTAGATTTAGTCCTTTTTGCTATTCTCCCAGCTCTGACCTTCCCCAGAACTCCAGGCTCTGCTCCTTAGTTGGGTTAAGTCCCCTCCTTCCCCTGTCCGCTGGGGTGGGGGTGGGAGTCCTGATCCTCACTCCTGTTGTGTAGGTGGGGAGACTGAGGCCTCAGGGTTCTCTGAGGGCAGGAATCTCACCCTCTCTGCCTCTTTGTGTACATCTGTCTGTTTCTACTCCTAGTCCAGGGACCGGAAGCTGGCTGGGGACATGAATGGGGCCTTGAGCTATGGAAACACCTCCAAACATCTCTGCCGTCATCTTGAATGTGTTGCTTCTCATCACCTTCATCATCCTAGTCTTTGTTTATGTGGTTCCCTTGATCCAGATGATGTTCAACTATCAAACACATTTCTAGGCTCCAACCCTGCCCCCCTCAGGGACACCAGCATGCTGTCCCAGTCCTGCTTCCCTAGATCCCCTCACCTAGCCCCACTCCCTCATCCAGCGGAGCAGCCCCTATCACCCCACAGACACCCAGAAGCCTAGAACACTCAGTGCCTGGGTCAGAGTGGGCATGAAATAAATTCAGTAAATCAATTGGCTTATGTCTCTGTCCTGTGTGTCAGGGCCTGCGGTTGCTAGCAAAGTTTCTATAAATGTCAAAGAGTCAAACATGACAGAAATGACTGAACAACAATGACACAAATGTCTCTGAGTCCCTCCAATCCTCCCTCCATTTCCTCCAAATCCTCAGAGCTCAAGGCATCCTTTGGGGGACTGGTGTGGGATGGGGGTGGGGTGGTGATGGGAAGGTCTGAGAGGGAAAGGACATTCTAGGCATCAAGCTGAGCAAAGGAGAGGACCAGAGAAAGTCAGGGAGGGGAGGGACATGTCCAGCTTGGCTTCAAAGCAGGGGATGCCGAAGAGCTAGACAGGGACAGAGTTGGGGACAGAAAACATGACTGGCTTGAAGAATTAGCCTGGGTTATGTTCTTTGGGATGAGACTGGGAGGCAGTTCTACAGCAGGGCCAACCCTGACTCCAACACTTCCAAAGGGGCCTTGGTCACTTCACCTGCCTTGTCTCAATGCACTCAGCTGTTAAATGATGATGTTCTCTGAGTTCTCTGCCAGCTCCCAATCTGCGATCTTTGGCAGAGAGGGGCCCTGCCTTCTGGGAGTTTCCCACAAATAAACTGAAGTCTGAAAGAGGAAGAGGAGGGGAGAGAAATCATTGGTAGCAGGTGAGGGTCCTGGAGCACAGTCCCCAGAGGGGTGCTAGGAAGCTCAAGATTTTAGTCAAGATCTGGATTCAAATTCTGTGTACTACCCATAGGGCAAGTCTCTTTGCCCCTCCAGATCTAGGTGTCCCACTCTGAAAATGTAGATGGGAATAGATTAGATGACCAGTGACCTGGGGGGGTGGTGAGTGAATGGTGTCCTGGACCTCACCTCCTAACTCAGAGAGATGACCCCATCCTGGACTCCTGCAGGTATGCCAAGGAGGCAGAGACAGCTAAGGCTTGTCCATGTAGCTCTTCTGTTTTTGTTTTTGTTTTAGTGAGGTAATTGGGGTTAAGTGACTTGGCCAGAGTCACACAGCTAGTGAGTGTTCTGTGTCTGAGCATGAGTCTCTTCTGACTTAGACTTGGGACGGGGCATGGGGGAAGGGTGGTGTTTGCATCCCTTTGAGATCATGTAACACCAACCTGGATTGGCCACAAAGAAGCAGGGCAGAAGACATGTCCAGGGATCACCATTTCCACACAACAAAGAGAGATTCCATATCTGTGGGGCAGCTATGGTGTGGGAGCCACACAGTTGAAAGTTGACCAGAGGAGTAGTGAGGACAAAGCAGAGCCAGAGGTTGGAAGAAGGGCGGGGCCGCACTGAAAAGTCTTGGCATTCTCCCAGGAGCAGAGGCCGTGGGGTCAGAACAGCACTTGAAGATGATTCTCAGAAGTGAGGAAGATGAGGGTCAGAGAATCTCAGGTGCTTCCAACTCAGTTCAACAGCCAACCCTATATCAGATTGTGATTGGTTCTGGGCACCAAGGTTCAACAACATCTGATGGTATGTCCTCAGGAGGGCAGGCAGGATGGGGAAGGGTTTGAGGGATTGGGCATGTCTGGCCAGAAGAGAAGACTCCAGGGTGAAATGATGGTTGGCTTCCAGTTTTGTTCTACTCAAGGGCAGAACCAGGAGTTCTGGGGAGGTGGGGCAGGGGAAGTTACAAAGAAGCCATTTTAGGCTGGACACCAACAAGAGCATCCTCATCTTGAGAGCTGTTCCAGGGCGGAATGGGCTCCTCCTGATGTCATGGCTCCTCCTCTCCCTCTTCCCCTTTCCTTCACGGAAAGCCTGGATAGTCCTCTTTTGGAGTTGTTCTATGGGGAGTCTGGAAAAGGAGAACCCTGTTTGGACAACTCAGTCCCTTCTAACTCTGAAATTCTGAGTGGGAGCTGTGGGCACCAGGGCAGATCAGGGGAATTGGAAATTGATTCCCTGGACCAAGACCAGGAAACATGGATGATGTCACCCACAGACACTCCCACACCCCAGGGATGGGAACCTGGATCCTTATCCCTTGGACTCGTGAGACCATATGCAACAGGGACAGTGTGGGCTATGAAGGACAGTCATTTTATGAAGGGCAGGCAACTTCTGTTAATTAGGATGGTCAAATGGAGAAGAGTACATTTACAAAGAGCCAGCCTGGCTTCCTCAAGAAAGGCCACCATGTCAATATCATTTCCTTCTTGTCAAGATTACCAAACTTATAGAAAGTGGGGATGCTGTGGATACAGTTCACCTTGATTTTAGCAAAGTGTTTTTTTGGAAAAGATGGAGAGATACAGATGAGACAAGAACACATTCAGATGGACTGGGAAACACAAGGAATACTTCTTAAGGACTCCATGCCCACATGGCAGAAGGTCTCCAGTGGTGTGGATCCCTGTCCCCAGGGATCTGGGCTCCATCTAGCATTTTATCTATGACTTGAATGAAGGCATAAATGGCTTGCTCATCCACTTGAAAATGACCCTAAGCCAATGGCCCAATGTCCCCCAAAAGGGACGGTTCATACAGCGGATGAGAGAGTCAGGGTCCAAAAGGCTCTTGGCAAGGAAGATGTTAATAAGATGAAATCAAATTGTGATAAATGTTGTCTTACACTTGGGTACAAACTAATCAGCTTTGAAAGGGAAAGAGAGATGGGCATCGGTGGGTAGCAGCTGTTCTGAGGAAGATCTGGGGGTCTTCGTGGACCCCAAGTTCAATATGAGTCAGTGGTGCATGTGTGTGTGTAGTAGTGTGAGTAGCAGCCAGAGAAGCTAATTGATCCTTGGGTTCTATTAATTTGGAAGAAAGGAAGAAGTAGCGATGCCAGGTCCTGTGCTAAGCACTTTTCAGACATGATCTTCTTTGATGACCTCATTAAGAGAGGCAGAGTGCCGAGGATGAAGGCCATCATTGTTGAGCCATCCTCCTCTGTCCTGCTTCCATTTTGTTTGGAGGACTGAGCTCTGTTCTGGGCACTACAGTTTTAAAAGGGCATCGACAAGCAGGAGATTGTCCAGAGAAGGGCAACCTGGAAGGTGAAGGGCCTTGAATTCAAGTCATGTGAGAACAGAGGAGGGAAGTGAAAGGAAGAGGCACCTGCTGTGTGCCAGGCACTGTGATGAGCACTTTACAAATACTGTCTCATTTGATCCTCACAACAGTCTTGCAATGTAGGTGCTATTTGTCATGACCCCCATTTACGGTTGAGGAAACTGAGGCTGGCAGAGATGCAGAAACTTACTCAGGGTCTCAGAGCTAACCAGTGTCTGAAGCCAGATTTGAATGGAGTCCTTCTGCCTCCAGGCCTGGAGCTCTGTCTGCTAAGCCTAGTTCTGGCTGGGTACGCTGAAGGGACTGAGGATGTTTAGCCAAAAGAGGAAGTTGGCTGGGGGGCAAGGCGTGAGAGGAGATGGGCCGGAGAACTGGAAGTTGTCATCAGAGGGAGGCCTCAGAGGGCAGAACCAAGGAGATGAATGGAAGATACAAAATGGCCAATCCAAGGTTGATGTCAAGAATTTCCTGATAATCACAGGTATCTGAAGGTGACTGGGACTGTCTCACTGACCTGCCTGTCACCTCCGACAGAAAAAAAAGCAAGTTTGGAAGAACAGAGTGGGAGGGTTTGAGGGAAAGACAACGAATCCTATTTGGGACATGTTCAGTTCAAGACGCCTTGGTGATGTCCAGTTTGAGACCTCAGTTGGTGATCGGCTGTTTCAAAATGTGGTGGGCTCCCCATCCTTGGGAGTCTTCAAGCTGGAGGACCTCTTGCTAAAGAGTTGAGGGCACGGGGCAACTAGGTGGTGCAGTGACTAGAGCACCGGCCCTGGAGTCGGGACCACCTGAGATCAATTCCAGTCTCAGACCAGACATTTGACACTTACTAGCTGTGTGACCCTGGGCAAGTCACTTAACCCCAACTGCCTTACCAAAAAAATAAAAAATAAAAAAAAATTAATTAATTAATGAAGAGTTGAGGGTAGAGTCTCCTTTGGCATTCTATCCAGCTGGTTACTCCATCTAGCTGGTTGCTGAAATAACTTCCCATGCTCAAAGTCTGGGATTTTTACTCAAAAGTGGGGGTGAGGCATTGGGGGATGCCCTGTGGAAAAGGGGGTCAGTAGTCTGAACTATCTGAAGGCATGGGTGAATCAGGGAGATCACACTCAACCTGGAGAAGCCTTAGAAGAGCCAGAGAAGATGGCAGAAGGTCAGCCAGCATGACCTTGGACAGAAGCCAAGTCCCCAGTCCCAAAAGACCTCAGCCTAGAGGGAGGGTTGAAAAGAGCCCAGTGCTTGTTCCTGGCCTGTGTCTGAGGAATGCTGGAGAGCTGGCCACACTCCTCAGAGAGTTTGTGAATGGCTATGCCATTGTCACTCAGTCCCCAAGCATGGATGAGGTGCCTGAGCTGTTCTGTGATCTCCTGGAGGTGACAATGAAGAAGAAAGAAATCCAAGAGGCCAAAGAGGCCCTTGACCTTGAACCCTCACAGAGGTTACTGGGCACTTGGGCTAGAAGGGAACAGACCCTTTGTCCTGCAAGGCCTGGGATCTGTGTCCTACCAGACCAGTGGAATATCCCCACTACTTACTGAGAATTTGACCACATTGACTTCTATAGATCAATCAACAAAGAGACATAAAACCCAAAGGGTAGAATTAAAACCCAGGTCCTCTGACTCCAGAGTCAGCATTCTTTCCACTGTGCTGTCCTTTCTCTTTTTACAGGTGAGGAAACTGAGGCCCAGAGAAATCTAGTGACTTGCCCAAGGTCATACATTACACAAGCCACAAAATAGAAGAAATCCTGGCTCTGACACTATTTTCGTGACCTTAGGAAAGTTACCTCAACTCCCTTGGGGCTGGACCAGGCCCCTGAAGCTCCTTGCACCCCCAACTCTCTGACCTTCTGATTGTTTTCAGGTCCCTTCCAACAAAAAAAATCTACAATCCTGCAAAGTAATAAGAAATAAAGATGTTGAGGTGTGCAAGGCTAAGATGTTTGCTTTTGATAGTCTACAAGGGGTGGGGATC